AAAATGTTGCTGCTACATTAATTGATCTGAATTATTGTGTCTTCTGCTCACAATTTGCTGCTGCTGCTGCTGCTGCTGCTAGGAATGAGAAAGGAAGTCATTCATGTGAATGTGAATGCACCCAATTTTACACTTTCAAACCACTCAGTTATGCCTTGAATTTTGTAAAAGAATTCTCCAATAAAAGTGCCTGGAAAGATGTGTGGACTAAGTAAAATAATATTTTAAAATGCATTCAAAATGCATTATATTGAGAATATGATGGGCCATAACATTCAAGCATACAATATATTAGAAAACCTACCTGCAAAGCTGTATTTACTAGGCATATATACATATATATATATGCTGTGAATTAAAAGAAATATGCATAAAATGCTCATGTATTTTCTTCCAAACTTTTTTAAAAATTAAGATGAACTGTATTTATCACTGGAATAATTTCAAAGTTTAAGACTAACCCTAATATTGGAAAAAGATGGGCTGAGAGACACCGATATAAACCGATATATCCATATCCAAGCATACTGTTGCCATGATGCTAGGCTAGGCTAGGCTAGGCTATCTAATGCTTCCAGTACTGGTTTGAATAACCATGGGAGCTTTTTAGGAAGAAGGGTCCAGGCTCATCCTTCGTACAGGATGCTATGTGCTAAACCATCTCTCAGACCGAAGTACAACAGGGAGTGCATCGGGCAGCCAGAGTGCCTGCAGGGCTGTTTCTCACATTACAGACGGTAACCGCGGTCATCTGGCACCACGCCTGCATAGCCTTTGGTTGCTAAATATTTGGCTCATGCCTTTTCTTTCTCCCCTCATCTTCTTCTGGTCAGTTGGATTTGCTTAGCTGCTTAATGGTTTTGGCTGCTTCTCCCGGACGGCTGCAGGGTTGTTGGTCCCCCCCCCCCCACCCTTGCATCGTTTTTATCTCCTTGCGTGGTTTGCATTAAACGCTCTGAATACCCCATTTGGATAGATTTTTTAAAAGAATCAATACACATCAATGCATGGGGCTTCATATATTCTGAATCACTGGACAGATGGATTTGTGTTTTGTATAATATTCTTTTCTGGTGAGTGGGATAAAGGAGCTCCGCAAACCAAGTTACTGTGGCAAACTGTGATGTGGGTGAAGAAGCCAAGGAGGCTCTTTAAAAGGCTTGAAAAAGTGTGAAATACACTCCCTGAGTCCCCATCTGGTTATTCCTTCTGAGCTATTTTTTAAAAACTCCATTACAGTTCAGAGTTTCCATTTGTGAGAAACCCACTGTGCCGAGTGCAGCTGGAAGCCTCAGATTTTGGAGGCAGTCCAGCAGACCTGGTAAGATCCCAAAAGCTTGAGGTTAGACAGGCAATGTGTTATGCTGAGCCTCACCTCGGGGCATGTCTGAATCTCCAGCAGGACAAGAAATGATGTTCAAGATTGAGATTTCTATTTCTGATCTCGGATCACATGGCAAAAGCAGACAGCTGTCTCCAGCTATCATTGCTCTCCCTTTCTTTGTTCATTGTTTTGTTTTTTTGTCCTTGGCTTTTTGCCCTTTCTTTGTTACATCTGCTGCTACAAGGTTTGTAAAGTGATGCTGCATGGAATTGAACCCTGCAATGCACAGATTTGCTTTTATTGTCAATTGCTCTGAAAACAGAGCTGACAAAGGGCAATCTAAAGATGCTTTAGATCTATACATTTTGCATCAATGAATGCAGCAGTTTCTTTGAATGCTGTCAAAGTCATCCGGCCACAAGTTCAGTTCCCACCTAGCATCTCCCAGATCTTCTGTCTTCCGTGCTCCCATGTACAGAAGACTTCTGGGCTCATTCTCATTGCTTTTCCCCCCCTTTAGTGAACACACATCTCTGTAAAAGCCTTTTCTTATCACGCTGCCTCTTCATATACTCACAGACATCTCAGCTTTCGAAACCTTTTCTGTGACCTGACTGGCACTTTTTCCCTCAGCAATTTCACTTCTTTTCCTCCTCAGAGTCTCCACTGTGTCTGTATCAGTATTGGGATGCTCAAGGAATTTAGTCTTTTCAAATTCTGGTATGAACTGGCTGGTTCTTGAAGGAATGTACAGACCAAAGCCTAACCAAGTTATTGACTGAAAATGACAAAGCAAAAATTGAGTAAACTCTAGTTTAATATGCATATTTTTGGAGAACAAAATAGGTTTAGAATGCATATTTTGAGATGTGACATGCATGGCAAGTTTTGCGTGGGAATGGCATGGACCATATTTGTGGGTAAACACAAACTTAACTGACATGGAGCAGTAACAAGAGGATTCATCCATGTCTAATCTGAAGATCTGCACAACTAAACTCTCAATTGTTTCATCCGTCATTAGCTCAAAAGTGGTTCATGTGCTGCCCATCTGTTCTTGCTGCAGACAGCCCCATCATCAGCTTGAACCAAAAAGGATCTCCTGAACATACACTGTTGAATTACTTCTCTGGATTGTTACATTCCAGTATGATAGGCGTGAATTGATTTTTTGTGGTTTTCATTCTGGGGGACATTTTGTACAGGTCCCCTATTTGGTTTACAGTTCAATCTTTCAGCAGAGGGGTTTTTGGTAGTTGCTTTTTCATAGACTGGCATCCAATAAAAGGCGGAATTTGGCACAATCAGTGGTGACAAATTCCTGATTTGAATAAGCTGATTCAGAATGAAGGGAAGGGGAAGGGGAAGGGGAAGGGGAGGAAAAGGGACCTATAAGAACATTGAGTCCAATTCTCTGCTCCGCTTCCGCACTTGGTCACCCATCCAGCAGAAGACCCGTGCCTTTCCAGCTTAGCAAACTGACTCTAAATACTTATTCAATGTATAGCCATGGAGACTATTACCTTTGCTAGATAATAGTCTACACTTAGAGATACTTGCATATCAGCCTTGATCTTTGAGTTAATCATCTGAGCTATAGACTCTATTTTAGCTGCATCAGGTTTTAAGCTTTCTATATCTAGTAACTTTATTTTTAACATGGCAAATTTGAACCTCCCTTTATTCTCCTATCTAGAACTCCCTTCAGCTTCCAATTGTATTCCTACTATGACTGAACTTTTCCCACACAGCATATTATCTGCATAATGTCTGTTATCAAGACAATCCAAATGACTGTTGGAGTACCCTTTGGTGCACTTCTAGAGCGGACGAGATACCAAATGATAATTTGTAGCTTTTCGTCTTTATACCTATATTTCAGGTCATATTAAGGAATGGCTTACTGTTTTTTCCAGAACATCTTACTAATTTAATGTTTGAATTCTGAAGCAATCCAGTCTGTAAATTTTGGCACATTCTCAAAAAATAAATTGCAGTGTGCCTATGTATCAAATTCTAAGATGCACAGAACACTTATCTCCCAAACCTGAAGAATTCAGTGATCCAATGAAGAAACTGCATGGGTTTTCTTCTTTTTAAAATATCTATCTTTGCCTTGAGATTTTCTGCCATTCTTTCTATATAGTTTGGTACAAATGGAGAAGGAGAGGGAAAGGACGAGATTATATTTGCTACATTTTCTGATTTATTTCCAGTATGCAGGGGAGGCATGTATGCAACGGATGATAGCATACTTGTTAAGTAGACCAATTATGCTAATCTCTTTTGGTACTCCTTTCTACTTGGGGTACTTATTATTATGATTATGATTATTATGATTATTATAACATTTCTATGCCGCCCCTTGCCGAAGCCTCGGGGCGGCTTACAACACAATAAGATACATTCAAATACTTATGTTAGGACTTGCCTAGATTCTGTCCTCTGAGATAGTCTATTACTACTACTACTGCTTCTACTACTACTATACTACTATTACATTGTACTTATATGCCACCTATCTTCTTCTCACAAGGAACTCCAGAAAGCTTACAAGATTCTCCTCCTCTCCACTTTATGCTCACAACAACACTGTGAGATAGACCAGGTGGAGAGGCGATGGCCCAAGGTCTCCCAGAGGGCATGCCTCAGTGGAGCTGAGAACCCAGCTCTCCCTGCTCCCCAGCATGATCACCAGCAGGCCACACTTCCTTCATGCACTGCATTCTCATTCATAACTACTCAGAAGTAAGCCTCATCAGGGCAGGTCTGAGACATTTGGCTGCCTGGAGTGATGAGCAAGATATGTCCCCTCCCGTTCCATGTACACAATCTGACTGGGGAAGGTAGCTGGATCTGTGCTCCACACTGATGATGAGACCACACCTTCCTCTTGCCCTGATGGGAGCAGGCAAGTTTAAGAAGCTCAGAAAATGGTAGGGCCAGCTCTGAGTCTACCATATTCAAGTGAATTTTCCTCCTGAATCCTTCCTCCCAGTTCCTTTGCACAGATAGATTTCCTATCTATCTTTCAGTTCATCTGATGCCTCCGTGCTCTCCATTTGGCTTAGCATAGTTCCATTCTTCTCAATGACTCAGCTCACAGGTGCTCTGACTTCATGCCACATGCTATATTATCTGAGCCTATTTGCTCAGATGTACGTCTTCCTTTTTCAGAGGGGTAACTTCTGCTAAGTGAGTCAAGGCTTGCAGTCTACCTCCCCAAATGTCCGTGTTACTCATAAACTTCAACTCAGAGAGAAACGAGTCTTTATTTCCCCCTTTTCTTTCACTCTTGCAGAAGAAATCGTGCTCTTTGTATGCACCATTTCTTTTGGGTGCACAGTTTGCTTCCCATTTATTAATCCCAACTTGGACTTTTTCTATATCTACCTTGTCATCTGACTAAAATTATTAAATATCAATCTTGCTGTTACTTCCTACAGGGAAAAGAGATGGTCAGTCATACTGCATCATAATAATTTAAAGAAATTCTGGGAACAGAACACCTGTTCCAGCAAAAGCCAAGAACTGTCTTGGGCAATTGCAGGAGAGAACCAATTAAATACAGCTTTAGGAGATCAAGCACAACTCAGTGTCACCATAATGACTGCAATTCAAAAACCAGAAAAAGCAATGATTTACTAGGATAAAATGCATCAGTGCTATGACTAACCTTATACAGCAAAGGCAAATGTCCTAGCTTCAAAAGCGCAATTTTTCTGGATACATCTGCGATTCTTTGAATCCTGAGTAAATCTTCTACAGTCCCGTACTGTACATCAATTACTTCAGCCTATGTAAACAGAAAACGATATTACATATTAGTCATTCTTTCACAACATGTTAAGACTGATTAGACAGATGGCATCCCCTGAGAGTTGCTTCATGCATATTACAGAGTGACAATCGTGTATTTGCCATTACAACTACAGGTGCCTGAACCTCACCATAGTTGTCTGTGTTTGCAAACAAAAGCTTTCCTCTACATCCACCACATCTTTATGGACATACATAAACCTCCTTATGTAAACATGCTAAAAGTGGACATAACAAGAGTCAGGGATAAGGTTTGTTTGTTTGTTTGCCGCTTATTTTGCAATCACAGTGATTGCATTTGTCAAGAATAAACATGTGTGGGACACGCATTAGGTTTGCCAACAACTTCAGTTGTTCCTGGTCTGTCTTGCTCAGGCAGGAGAGAGATGACTGGGATGCACTGCCATTCTGCTGCACAACAACCTCCTCCAAAGGAGAGAGAGAGCAGAAGAACAAGGCGATTCCTATCCCTGCCTCTTCTTCCAAATTCACAGGGTCTGGTGTGAGGCAGGGAGGAAAGGATCATGAAGGGCCTTCAGAAGAATTCTGGCAAGCCTCCATGGGCCAAATAAGAACCACAGGTGGGAAGGTCCCCCTCCCTGATTTAAAAAGCCAACCGTGTATTTGTTGTTTTGGTTATAAAATACAACCCAAAGAGCCAGGAATTTATTAAAAATGGTGTATTTATTTTTGCATGTTCAAAGTTCGGTCACCTTCACAGTACTTTCCAGTTGATGTAATACAGCCATTGAGACATTTTTCCACTGCTCAAAACAGGTTTTGAACTTGTTGATTTTGATGCCTTTTAGTGCTTCTGCTGTTTTTGCTTTCACCTCTTCCACATCAGCAAAATGTTTCCCTTTGAGGAGTTTTTTCACCCAGGGAAACAAAAAACGGTTGCATGGGGCGAGATCGGGAGCATAGGGAGGGTGGGGTGCAAAGGTCATGCCATTTTTGGTCAAAAACCACTGAACTTCAGCTAAGTAAAAATTCACCGCTGCATGTTGGTCATGCAAATCAGGCATCACAAAATATGCAAATACATTAAAAGGGTCTCCAAAAAAAGCCCTCACTGAAGCCGGATGCAGCCTCTCACGACAACCCAGCTGGGTCCACTGGTGCAGATGCGTTCCCAGAACACTCACCTGGCAGGAGGAACTGTACTACAAGGGTCTCTCCTCCAGAAGATAATTCCTGCTTTTTTGGGGGGGGGGGTCCCTCCTCATATACTAGGAAAGTGGATTTCCCCTAGAGTTCTGAAGACTTTCGTGAAAATATGCCCTTAGCAATCACAAGCATGTGGAAGGATAAGCTTTGTATGGTACCTTGGGAGCCATGTTTATCCCATTAAATCAGTGTAAGATAGAGAGGAGATGTAGGCAAGCATTTGACTTCCAGAGACTCTCCATATTTCACCCCTGCAGAAGGATGTGAGAAACTTGGCCTGGCAACAATTTCACTAGGAATCCCAAAGGGTGGAAATATGATCAACAAGGAAGCAGGCATTTTTCTTTTTTCATAGATCCATGCATCAAGCTTGCTTGCTTGCATGCTTAAAAGCATTGGTTTCCATGAATTAGAGTTCACTGCATCATGGCACATAATCACAGCTTCATGGAGACTGACTGTATTTTTTGCATTCCAATTTTAACTGATGTCAATGCTTAGGCTTTCTCCCCCTCTACACATTGGTGCACATGTGTGTGCATCTACCTGCCAGCTGAGCTTATACCATAATAAATGTGTTAGTTTTTAAGGTGCAGTCCCTGGTGCCACTCCCGGTATCCACAAGTATTAGAAAACGGGGTGCTTCTTGTGCTTGCTGAGGCCGCTACAAGCTAGTACAATGCAAATGCTTCCAGAATATATGTGTGTGGTTAAAGTGTCTCTGGGAGTCAGGGTGTTATTCCTCTTAATGATGTGTTCAGGGCTTGTAGTACAGGCAGCATTAATGCACTTTAGGAGCACGTCTACTTCTGTGCAGCAAATCGGTTCACAATGAATGGAGTAGATTTCAGTCATGCTTTGACTTCCACTTCCAGTGATATAAAAATGATATAATCCTGATCTTTATACATCCCAAATAAATAAAGGAGAATCACTGGTGGCAATGTACAGATAAAATGTTTCCCTTGGGGTGAAAAATAATGCTATTTAAAAAACAAAGAGGAACACAGTCTTTTATCAGCCACTGTAAAAGAACACTTGTGTGTTTGCTTTAGATATGCAAAGGTAAATCCTCTTATACCTAGAACTGTGGAAGTACTAAACACTTTGATTCATCCATTCAGACTGGGTGCTTACACTCCAAAATGCAATGCTCAGAATGAAAAAGCATAAGTATCTTGAGGAAATCCAGTTTTGCCCTAGATGGAACAAATAGCGTTCTTTGAATCATAACAAATAATGGCTTTGAACACCAAGTGTATTAATTGGGATGCACTTGGCTTTTCTGCAGATAAAGCAGGGACACCTCTATCCTTTGCTCAGTTGTTTTGCAGCATCCTGCTTATAATCTCAACTCCTCTGGAGTTAATCTGATTACCATGAGGTGTGCCATTGAGCTCTACACTTTGGCTCAGTTGCAACTGCTCACAGATCCTCTTCAGGAACATTCCTCTAATGTGGTTTTCAGGTGCTTCATCCTGTGAATTTCATCAGCAGTTTGAAAAAATGAACAAATCATAGTATGTCTTAGAGGTGCATTTCAGTGAGTCTCATTTTATACCACAGCAAGTTGACACCAGCACAAGACTAAGGAACTGGAATCTGCAGAGGGGTTGCATGTATGTATGTGGGGAAGTGGGAATCATGAAAATCCATTGGATTTTCATCCCTTATCTGAACCTTCACACACTCCTACTACCTGCAATATAACTGTTAAAGAAGAAGTTGAAAACCCCTAATTAAACCATAGCATACTTGAATATGCAAGGATGCAAGCCTAGCTGAGTGCACAAAGCTTGGGCCTGAATAGATAAATCTCTGAGTTTGGGTTTCTCTACATAGGAATGTGTGAGGGATCCATTTGAGGACTGTGAATCCATCCGATTCCATGGGTCTCAGTCCACTCTGACATGCCAGTGTTTCTGCAGAGCTTGCCAGAAATTGAGCTGCATGCAAATATTATGCAAGCAGTGTTCCTCTTCTGCATCTTGTGCAGCGGCCTCCGGTTTTGCTACTGCATGGCATGAAGGAGAAGGTTGCTCACACGGGGCTCTCTAGGAATGAAGCATCCCATGAACATGGTGCAAGGATGGTCCCGTTTCTATGCCAGGGTGCTGCAGCCCGTGTTTGTGCTGCTGATGTGACCAGAGGATTTCTGGTTGTGCAACCTTCATTCCACGAGCGTTTGTGGACTTCCTCTAGGCTCTGCTCATGCTCTAAGACATGGCTGAGCACAGCAGAAGTCCACAGACACTAATGGGATTGATTCAGCAAAGCTTCAACACATCCTGCACTTCCTTTCCTTTTCTGTTTAAATCCCAAGTTCATTCTGTCTCAGATACGGTAACTTAGTGAGTTTTGGTAAATGCTTCTGAAAACTAAATTGAAATAAAATTCTTACTCATTCTTATCAATATATTTAGAAATGCACTGCAAGGAACCTCCAATATGACAGTGAAAGTACAGACAATGGAATGCAGCCTGCACCGTCAAAGGGAGGGGGCAGAAGCAAGCGCTTCTTTTGTGGTCCTCACCAGTGCCAGAGTGGATGCCTTTATCTCCAGGCGCCAAAGTCCCTTCCCACCAATGGCTACAGCACTGTCATGAACGGTATCCCAGTCCTCCCTTCCCACTCCTACCTCTGTTCACCTCTGCCCTAAATTCCCATGTCTTTGTCCTTTCTCTGACCTTCACCAGCTTGCCGCAGAACGTCTTTTCTCCTTTCTTCCTTGGCAGACATTCACAGAATCATAGAATAGTTGAGTGAGAAGGGGCCAAGAGGGATGCCAGTTATACCATCCCACTCCATCCCACCATCCCTTCCATCCCACTGATGCAAAGCATCAGATACCAAAATCCTAGTAAACCCATGTGCACAGCTCCTTAAACTCTCTGACCCCCTGTTGGATCACCTGTCCACATCCTTCTCCCTTCCTCTGCAGACTCCACAGCTTCTTCTGCAAAACCTTGGTCAAAATCCTGATTCCATTACTATCACAGCCATCACTGGAAGGGACTCTCCATATTGAATCTGTTCACTTTATTTGCTAGCTGATTTTGTCTCACATTTTACCTGATCATGAAGACCAGTGCACATAACTTCAGCCAGCTATTAATACACGTGTTGATGACTCTTATTTTTCACCAAGAGAAAAAATGCAATATGTCTAAGATCTTTCTACTCTCTGTTTCACGGGATCTGTCAGGTGTAGCTTAAGTCATAGAGAACTATATTTACATCTTCTTTAATAGCTACCATGCAATATAGCTTACCCTTAGAGGAAAAACTTAAGGGGTGGGTGGGAGTCTAAGGATCAGAACAGTTAGCAAATAAATCTATCTGAGATAAAATGTAAACAGTGTCAAAAATATAAAGAATAAATGGCGAAGGTGACCCTGCCCATATACACAAACACATAAAAGGTCTTATACTAGCAATGTAGACATTTTCCATTATCCTGAACCCAGCAGATAAGTGGGCAGTGCTTTCCATTTTACCATTCAATTCATGCCACCCCCATTAAAACCAAAGGAAAGGCACCCCAACCCACACTTTGATGATACCAAACTCCATTTCTCTGTAACATCTGAATCAGCTGCAGCTGTGCAATCCCTGAATCAATGCCGGGACACAGTGATGGTTGGATGAGGGCCGATAAACAATGGCCGAATACCAGTAAAATGGCAGCCTTATGGAGGAGTGGATTTGGAATCCGGGAGATTGTCCAATAATCTGTGCCGAATAAGCTTGCACTCCCCCTGAACAAACAGGTGTGTAGCTTGGGGTACTTAGAGGATTAATTTTTATCA